GAAAGCTAAATCAAAAGACGTAGCTTTTTGTTTAATTTAAATTTCCATTGTACATACCCATTGTTTATTATTATTATTAATCAAAATTGACATAAGGCTTTGTAGATCATTGCATCTGTTGTGTAATTAGTATTGCAAGTATGTTAGGCATATATTTTGATAGTTAAGTCAACTTATACATAGATAGTAATGCTTATTAAATTATTTGCTATCTATGCATGCTTTATTTTAAGTAGTTTATATTTGAGCATGGGTGCCATGCATTTTGTTTATAACTTTCTACCAAGCAATATGGTAGTTCTTGAAGTGCACTGAATTTTATAAGTTATTTTTTCTTTGTTCTTAGTATACGTCAATCTTATTTTTCTTTTCAAAAGCATTGTAACAAATCTAGCCAAGCACTTCACTATTCTAAATTGCTCATATGCCAACCTCAAATAGTTGGGATAAGGCTAATGATGATGATGTTCAAACATGTTTTTTTTTTATCTTTATTGAGTTTGAGTTGTAATTATGCTTTAATTAAGCCTAAAACAACATAGATGTGGTATTAATTATTTGTGCATGTATCCTCATTTCATTGTTCATCAAAATTGATACAGTCAGCTTACTTGATATTATTTTTGTTCAATTTTGAAACAAAAAATGTAAAAAAAAAAGTGAAAGCTAAATCAAAAGACCTAGCTTTTTGTTTAATTTAAATTTCCATTGTACATACCCATTGTTTATTATTATTATTAATCAAAATTGACATAAGGCTTTGTAGATCATTGCATCTGTTGTGTAATTAGTATTGCAAGTATGTTAGGCATATATTTTGATAGTTAAGTCAACATGATCTATAGGCTTCTTATGATAATCTCAAATGGACTCGTACGAGTTGACTTATTAGCAAATAAATTGTATGCAAATTTAGCCAAAATCAATATGAAATACCTCTTTTTTGTGGTCATTTATCAAACAACATTACATATGTTATAAAATTCGATTAACCACTTTGGTTTGACCATCAATTTTGGGATGATAATTAGTTGAAAATCTTAGCTATCTTTCCCATTTTTTCTTTACTTTTTTTTTTCAGATACAACTCATGAATTTACATATCAATCATAGATAATTATTTAATTTAAACCATGCAATTTAACCATTTCATTAAATTACAATTAGTAATATGAGATGCATATACAATTTCATGACATCATATGAAGATTAAAAATTAAATCTTATTTTCTCAATCTTTACTGTATTAATTTAATAAAAATTTTGCAACCGTTCTCTCACTATAAAAATGTTGTAGTTGTTGTTGTTCTCTCATGATTTATATGGAATTGATACAGTTCCTCAAGATTATTGTCTTAAATTCATTTTCTTATCTATTCTGCAACTCCTGCTTTGTGATGCTGCAGTCATATATGGATTCAGAGATCAGAGCTATTATGGCGCAGTACATGCCACTTGACAGTCAAAATGAGGTACCGAGCCATTCTCATGAAGAAAATCATATCTGAAAATGGTTAAGAGAACTGCTTTTCCTATTGGGAATACGATTTTTCATCTTTACGTTGAGATGATCTACTCACAAAACTTGTGAGTCAATAAAAAAAGCAAGATAACGAGGACTTAACACGTAACATGAGGGAAGTCTATGAGTACAATGAGAAGGAAAAAAAAAACAGAAGGAAACCAGGGTAGAAGACTTGCCATTTTTTTTTTGTTTTATCACCCAATTGTTTGGCTTGGTTTGTATAGAATTCTTGTAACATTTTCCAAGTATTTACCTGCTAGCTCAGTTGAGAGAGAGAGAGAGAGAGAGAGAGAGAGAGAGAGAGAGAGTTTGGTTTCATTGTCTTCTCTTTGGATATTATAACTGTTGGTTAGTGTTTTACTGCTGCAATATTTTGAATCTGTAGATCAGTATTTGATAAATACTCAAACATGTTTATCATCTGCTGTGAGAAATCATAAACTATGGATAAATTTTTTGCCACTTCAAATTACTGATAATGATGAGATGTTATGCAAGCAACAGAAAAGAGGTCATTACAGTTCTTTCTATGATAGGCTGATAGCGTAGCGTCTACCAATGCCAATGTAAATGATTTTCTGTTTGAGTCAGTTGATGAGTTATCAGCCCCCAAATTTAAGTAAATATTTATATCCATGCAATTTGTTATAATTGCTTATGATTGTGAAAAAGCTTACATATTACAGTGCATGTCTTATATTTGATTCTTAGACAGTGAAGTTTTAAAGATGCCATAGCATAACTTGTTTGATTTACATATCTAAAGCTTTGTTTGAGACGGTTTTTTTATAATTTTCTTAAAGAAGTTTTTTAGTAAAAAAAATTATAAATTTTGTACTAAAAATTGTTTTAAGAAGCAATAAGAAAGTCATCCCAAACGAAGCTTAATATTCTAAAAAGAAAGCAGAAATTTATAACCTGTTGGTTGATCTGATTCAAAATAATTATTATGGAAGGTAGTTCAGTTTTCTTACGCCAAATTTATTCAATGGAAGGTAGCTTAGAACTAGATGTTTAACTTAATCAAATCTGTGCCAATCTTAATTCGGTTCATCAGTCTGTGAGCTTATTTGTTTAAAATTTATTAATAGAAAACATATACAAGTATTATAATTTGATGACTTAGGCTTCATTTGGGACGTTTTTTTATTGCTTTTTAAACTAGCTTTTTAATATAAAAATTTTAATTTTTGTATTAGAAATTTGTTTTTAAAAGCAAGAGAAAAGTTGTCCCATATGAAGTCTTAGATTTCATTTGGGATGGCTTTGTTAGTGCTTCTTAAAGTAGTATGAAAGAAGTCCCAAAAAAAAAAATTAGATTTCATTTGTGTCAGTTTTCTTACTGTTTTTAAAAAGATTATTACGTGCGGAGTTCTTACTCAGAGAACAATTCAGTTTTGTGGTTGTAAACAATAAGTGCAGTGGTGAATAGTAATTGCGCTTTTATTGTTCATTGTCACAAAATCGAATGGTTCTCCTATTCGGAATCTGCGCGTAATAATAATCTCTTTTTCTAAAGTAGTTTTGTAGTTCAAAATTTTTTTGAAAGTAATGAAAAAGAATCTGGCAAAAGCTCTCCCAAACGAAACCTCAATTATACTCTTATTATGCAAATATAAAATTTTTTTATTATATATTTTATCCTAACTTCTCAAAATTTTTTTGATCTCTTATTCCTTTCTTACTCTTATTTTCTCAATGAAAATCAGGTTTGTATATATATATATATATATATATATATATATATATAGTACATTTAGATATATAGGATTGATTTCAAATTTGCTATGTTATCAGGTTTAAGAATGAATACAAATGACTCATTTTCGACCCAGATTACTATTTATAAGGCGTGTTGAATTCAGGTTACAGTAGACATACCTGTTCAAGATCAAGTCCGTAGTATTTTAATATTTTTACACTCTCATTGATACCTTATAACTAAACCTAACTCAATCTGCTGTTAAATTTTTATGAATCTTAATTAGGAAATTGTTAATTTAAGTTTATTTCCAGACCTTATTTTTTCTTTCTATGAAAATTTTTGTATAATTTCTTGTTAGTGAAAGTTCATTAAAGCTATATGATTTTGAGCTCTCTTAAAGAATTATGTAAACATTAGTTATGCTATGATTATCTGCATTTACATGCATATATGTGAATTATTTTTAATATTCTTTTGTTTTATTTCATGATTAGACAAAGAAAATTATTTTAATAACAAAATGATCAACTCTATAAATATCCTTTAAATTTTCTAAATTGAGTTCGCACGTGCAGCTCATTAATAGACATGAAGAAATCCTCCCGGCGGCTCACGTTTGAAGCCCCTAACATTCCAAAAAAAATTCTTAAATTAACATTATTTATTTTTCTTTCATGCAATAAATTAGAACAATTAATTATTTAAAAATATATATTTAATGAGTTTTGGAGAGTTTTTCTATGCTGTTAAAAAATAATAGTAATATAAAATAAATATCAAATAAAGCACCTCATCTAAAAATTCTCCCTCTCCACTATGAAAAATTCTAGCAGGAGATTAAATCCTCTTGAAAGAATTATACATCAACTTATTAAGAAACTTCAAAAGTCATTGAGATGTGATGAATTAGTTCTTCATCTACCTTAAAACAAAGACTAATCAACTTATTAACCAATCAAAAACTAATCAATAATGGAGATTTCAAAATAAAAGAATTGTAGGAGACTGATAAATCCTCTTTCTGTCAATATTGTTCTTCATGGATTCATTAAATCAATCCCAATGTTCATTCCATTGTAAGCAAGTGGAGCATACATCCATAGTTCATCAGAGCTGAGTAACTGCACCCAAAATTAAAAACAAATTCCTTAATTATCTGATCAATAAAGATTGATATCAGATGAACTATTTCTCTCACTAACCTTAATTTGAAGCTGTAAGAATTTCACATACTGAACTGCTTCTTCAAGCATAGTACTGATGTCAACCTGCAGAAATTTCCAATAAAAATCTTCAGCTTAAGGCCAAATTAAGATGTTTATACAAAAAATGTAGAAGAAAATGCTTACTTTGGTTCCATTGGGCACCAAATTCTGCAGAATTCTGAGCCTCTCATTGATCCTTTCTCTTCTTTTCTGTAAGGAAATAGGCCATTTCAGCTAAAACTGTTCTGATTTATGGATCAAATTTTGTATTACTAACCTTTGCATAGACACTTTGTGAGTCAGTTGCAACTCCCCTTCCAGATCTTTCCTTCAAATTGGGTTCATTCACAGCAGATACATGAGAATCATTCGAGTCGCCGCCGTCTGAGCTGCAGCTACTGGTGCTTAAGCCTGCATTTTTCTCTTCAGCGCCGCCTGTAATGCTACTTTTACCATTCTTTCGCTGCGAATTTCTCGCTCTCTTTTGAACCTGAAATCAAATCAAATCAATTCAAGTTCACGAACAAATTCAACTAATTCGACGGCGAAGATCTTCGAACCTTCTTCTTGGGACTCTCATTGCATTCATCAATCTGAAACTTTCTCTTGTTCTGTACTGACTGCTCAATAGCAGAACTGCACTCTCTGAACTCATCACTGTTTGCTTCATTCAGCCAAACTAAACTTTCAAATTGATAACTGGAATCAATCTGAAAGAATGAATCAGCTAAAATCTCTTCTCCCATAGCATTTTGCATTGGCTCATAACTTGAATTTGGATCACTTAAACTACTACTGCAATTGGCACCAGGCCAGATCAAAGAGTCCAGGTCTTGAAATTGCTTAAATCCTAATAGTTGAGAATCGAGCAATTGAACCATGGCTTCTGTGTCTTCCAGCTGCATTTGATCTTCAAAGGAGTTGAAGAAAATTTCAGGGAAAACTCCAAAGCCTTCCATCTATTATGTTCAGGAGGCTCTCAATGAAGTTCAGCCTGGAGAGAGTGGAAGGCTGAGGACTACTCTCTATATCACAAGTTCTCTTGCTCTTATATATATATAATGAAAGTCTACAGGGATTAGGCAAGTTGAATTTGTAGAGAATAATTAACAGATATTTTTTTTTAATGATGGATTAGTTAAGCTTAAAAAGCATAATTAAATATTAATTTGGTGTTAAGAAGCTAATGATTAGATTATGGAGGATAAGTGTTGGAATCCTGTCTACAGGGATTAGGCAAGTTGAATTTGTAACATTATGGGATTTAAGTTATGGGTTGAGAAGAATGATCAGATAATATATTTTTAATGATGGATTAATTAAGCTTAAAAAGGATTTTTAAATATTGATTTGGTGTTAAGAAGATAATGATTAGATTATGGAGGATAAGTGTTTGAAACCTGTAGTCTAATTACTATTATAACTGGATAATACAGTTGTTTCAATTCTGGCTGTGCAATTCTAATGAGCAGCTTGGATTTAGCAAATCATAGACACTCAATGAGAGTTGAATGGCTAGGATTTGATAACTAAGTACTAGTAATATTCAAACTACAAGGCTAAAGGAGTATATTTACGAGATTTTTTCTTAAATGCTGAAAAGATAATTAATTATACAATATGTAGCTTAAATTTATAATATATATAATTTGTATCTATTTTTCCAATATTACAAATAATTTTATAAATCCAAGATGCTCCCTTAGAGATATGAAACGAAATGAGCATATACGTGAAAATGTTGGAGCAGCTCCAGTGGAAGATAAGATTAGAGAGAGTCACCTTAGATATATGGTTTGGTCACATAAAACGATGACCTTCCAATGACCAGGTTAGGAAAGTAGATGCATTAAATTTGACTTATAGTAAGAAAGGTAGAGGTATACCTAAAAAGACTTGGTTAGACAATATAAAAATGACCATTTTTATTAGATTTAGATGAGAATTTGACTCTTAATAGGACACAATAGAGAAAAAGGATTCATGTAGCCAACCCTACATAGTGGGCTAAAGGCTTGTTGTTGTTGTTGTTGCTGCTGCTACTGTTGCTTAATTAAAAATGTCGTTTTTATTTATTTTGATGCATGTGACTTTTATTTTTATTTTTTTAAATAGATATGTTTTTAAATGTATAGTTCAACTTTGTAGTATTATGCATTATCATTATTTTTTTAAATATTATTTTTCTCATATCTTTGTTCTATTTTTATTTTTTTATTTTTGCCATAAAACAAGTTGTGAGTTTTTCAATGAATAAAGAAAGGCAAATGGGGAATATGGCAAAGATCGTGGGGAGGAGTCATGTAAATTGTTTAGGAGTTGGTGAAAAGAGGAGGAGAAATATCTGCCGACTATGATGCTTTGTCCTTTAATTATATTTTTTATGAGTTTTAGAATAAAATAAAATAAAATACTTTATTCAGTTCATGTTAAATACATGATTGATTTTAATTCTAAAAGTACGTTTAAATTATTTTTATAGTCAATTAAATTAAGAGAGTCATTTGAGAAATTTTCCTAAAGCTTATTTTTATAAGCTAGATGAGATTTTGCATTTAATTAATTAAAAATATAAAGTTTTTTTTAATAATGATAATTGTTATTAAATATTTGTTTTAGAAAGTTAGATGCATATGAAATATATGATATATTTGGGGAATTATTATGTGCAGAGACCGGACGGCGAGATCTGTTCGGATTTGCTATTTTTTTACTGTTCTTTTGTTGTGCTTTTGCAAATACTAAAAAAAAAGATAACAATAATGCAATTATGAATGCACTTTTGTTGTGCTGCGTTTTTATAAAAGGACAGCAAAAGCGTAGATAAAGCACAATAAATACCCTACTAATTGAAGTTTTACCGTGCTTTTGCTGCCCTTTTGTAGAATCGCAATCAATATCAACAAAAGTGCATTCATAATTATATATTTATTGCTCTTTTGCCGAGTATTTGCAAAAGCATAGTAAGAGGGTAGCAAATCCGGACGGTTCTGACCGTTTGGTCTCCGCACATAATAATCTCTCATATTTGGGATGGCTGTAATGTTTTATAAACTTTGTTGTGAAGTTATTGTCCAGAAAATAATTTAGCTACTTGAATTAAAAAAAAATTTCTTCACATAAATTTTTGAAAATCAGGAAAAAAATAAGAAAATAATAACCAAAAGAAATTATAATTGTAATTTAAAAAATAAAGCAGCTAGAAAGTTTTCTCAAACATACCCTTAAGCTTTATTTGGTGCAGCTTAGCTTTTTTATTTGTGAAATAGTGATGAAAAACATAGCAAAAATTTGAAATTGTGATAAAAAAATATCTTTGAAATAAATATTGTTTTTCATTAATTTCTTCTCTTATCATAAAAATAATTGAAAAGGTTCTCCAAACAAAGCCTTAATTTTAAAAATTGATAATAATTTTTAAAATTTACATCAATTAAGCTAATTTGCAACCCTTTACTTAAGATAACTAAGTTATTATAATGAATTTAAGACAGCATTATCTTGTTAATCCACTGTTATGCATTATTAATAAGGTTGAATTCTACTGATGTTAAGCGCTGATGATTGTAATTAGCACTGGCAATAAAAATATAAATATTTTTAAGTCAAAAGTCAACAGCTCAAATGGATTAAACTGCAATTATTTATTGAGATATTAAAAAAAAAAAAATTGTTCTCTTGAGAAGCCAAATAGTTGGCAATAAACAAAGCCTTCCAGGTCCAGAATAAAATCAAGTTCGCTGTTTCTGTTCACTGAAGCAGATCTGAACATATATTCCATTTGCAGATAATTATATTATTTTCTGCTAAATTCTCTCTCTCTCTCTCTCTCTCTCTCTCTCTCTCTCTCTCTGTATCTAATTAGTTAATGAAAAGGAAGGAGAGAAGAAAGGGGTATGTATTTGAAATTTAAATCAGCATTTGACCGTTAAGAACTTAGTGACGTTTGGCAATCGTGAGATGCTAAAACGTCTCACGATTGCCAAACGTCTCTGTCAAAGAAATTGATAATTATGTTGAAATAGTTTGCTAATTAGAGTTTTTTTAAGTTTAGTTAAATTAATAAGGGTTACGCGTTTATTAAAAAAAAAGATAAAGCCAGTCTTCCAGTTCAGAAATATTATGATTAGTTTAGGCCCAATTCTTAATTAATCCTCTAATTACAGCTACTTAACGCTTAAATGACAGGCTAATGATTCTGAGAAGATGAAATTTGGATTGGTTGGATCTATTATTGTTTGTGGGAAGTCATTAAAATTTTACTTGAAATATTGATCAAGCTTGTCTTTGATACTAGAGCGAAGGGGGACTGTCGACACTACTTGACAGGGAGGGATTAATGCGTACAGAGTCTGAATTCAGAGAACAGTTCGGTTGTGTGACTGTGAATAATAAAATCACAGTTACTGTTTACCACTGCGTTTTTATTGTTCACAGTCACAAAACAGAACGGTTCTCTGGCTCCAGACTCCGCACGTAATAATCTCTCATTGACAAGAGCAACTATCATAGGACAGTGAGGATTTTGCGAGAGATGATTATGTGCAGTTGCAGTCTTAAGGGACTATAACTTAAAAAGTCAATTGTTTGAGGCAATCACAAGCTTTGACAAAAGCAAGGTCACCAGTCAGGGATTCAAGGAGGAACGATCACAAGCAGGATGATCATGAGGGTGGGAGGGTTTCATGAGCTTGGAGGTTCATGCTCAAGTCGGATTGCAAGGTTTTGTAGCTTGCAACCTTCATGTACGTCAAATTTATTCAATTTGGATAAAAGGCAAGCTCACACATATTACATACTTAAGATTCAAACTCAAAACCTCTTGATTAATTTGTAGCAAAAACTCTCATCTGTCATTTTCAAGTGCACTTCATTGGAAAGTCAGCTCTTTTTTCCTCCCGAGATTAGGGTTCAGGCGGCGCTTTCTCCTGAGGAGCCTCCTTCCCCCCGCTCGGCGGGGGGTCTCCATTTCTCTGGTTAAGGAAAGCCTCTCTAACCCTTTTCTCTGGTTTCTCTCTATTTCTTGTGTGGTTTTCCTCTCATTTTTTCTGGTTTTGGCGGCATGCCTCCGTCAAAGTTGAAAGATCCCGGTTTTTTTGGGGGAATCTCTCACTCTAAGTCTTTCCTTCAAGCTCTAGCTGGATCTTCATCATCCTTTCCGGATTTGAAGCCGTCTAACTTTCGTGGTCTTCCTGCTCTGTGGGTTTCCGATGAAGAAATTAGGGCTTTAGCGGAACCTTTTAGGTTTTCCTTAGTTGGTTTTTTCCCGTCGAAACGTCCTTCTCTCGATGCGATCAGGAATTTTTTTTTAATTTGAAGTTGATTGGAGAGGTGTCTGTTACTGTTCTTGATTCTACCCACATTTTGATTAAGTTGGCAAATGATTTAGATTATTGTAGAGTTTTTTGCCACCGGTCTTACCTTGTTTTCAACTGTTTTATGAAAGTTACGAAGTGGTCACCAACGTTGGATATCGGTGTCGAGTCGCCGATCATCCCGATTTGGATCTCCTTTCCTAATCTTCGTCCCCATTTCTTTGCTCCGAGAATCTTGTTTGGCCTGGGGGAGTTATTCGGCAAACCCCTTAAAATTGACGAAGCTACGTCGGTTGGATCTCGTCCTTCGAATGCTCGAGTTTTAGTTGAATTAGATATTACTAAAACTTACCCTAAGCAAGTGTGGCTGGGCTCGGATTCGTTAGGGTATGTTCAAGAGGTGGTTCTAGATGAGTTTCCTCAATTTTGTGGTGTTTGTAAAAGTTTAGGTCATCTTTCTGGTAAGTGTAAATCGGTGGTTTTTACCGGTTTTCCTACTGCTGATGTTCATGCAGAAAACTCTGCTCCTTTAGGTGGTGTGAATGGTGATAAGAGGATTAAGGAAACTGTGGTTAATATTAATAAAGAAGATGCTGGTGTGAATGGCGATATGAGTGTTAAGGAAACTGTGGTTAATGTTACTGAAGAAGATTCTGAGGCTGTGGAGGTGATTTTGCCTTCGATTGAACATGTGGGGTGTTCTCCCGTTGTTGAATGACTGACTGTTTGAGTAAGTCTGCGGGCAAGGAGATTAGGAATCAGAACAATTGGTTAATTGATTCGTCTGAGGAGGAAGATTATTCTGAATCGTTTGACTCGGATAATGATTTTACCTTGGATCGCCTTTCCATTGCTACTCGGGGGAAATTCTGGGGGAGAGGTCGTCGTAGAAGATGATTTGGCGTGTCTTTTTGATGTTCGTCATGCTTTTATCCGCTGAATTGTTTTGGTTTGAACTTTCGTTATGCTGCGACGCGAGGCTAAGGGCAATGATGTGGTTGGAGCTCGCGTCCCGGTCGTTTTGCTAGTGGCAACCGTGGGTGTTGATTTGCTTACTGGATGGTCCGTGCGGGACGTCTTGGACGCTGGAAGCATCAACTGTGAACTGAGCCCGTTTTTAGCTTATAATACTCTAGATTTTTGATTTTTTGCCTTCTGCTTAGTAGGATTTTGTATCTGTAATGTTTTTTTTTTGGGTATTAATATATATGGTTAAAAAAAAAAAAAAAAAAAAAAAAAAAAAAACCAAGGTGAGTTGCATAATTTGGACAAATTTAAAATATACTCAAAATGAACTAACATGTTTATTTTGAAAACCTAAAAAATTACTCAGCATTAGTTTTTCACCCAACCAAATAGTTAAAAATATAAAATTACTGTATTTCAAATAAAGCTCACTCCAAATACAGTCAATGAAATAACCCTAAGAGAATTATTTGATTGAGAATTATATAATTTTAGAGAGAGAAGTTATGTAATAATAATAATTTATATGTCAAATTGTCTAGCTCTTGCAATTAGTGATGTGAGTCTGATTCAAAACTGAATAACAAGAAAAGTAAAATAAAGTATGGATTTAGAAATTGAATTCGCCGAGCCCATGCATTCATTAATGGGCCGCCGGCCCTGCAAAAAACTAAAATTAGATCAAGCTAGATGCTATTTTATTTGCATAATTGGTTGGTTAATTTCATAATTCTTTTTGTTCATGAATGCTTATGAAAAATCAATGGCAATATTGATAGATTATTCATATAATATTCTTATCTTAAAGAAAATTTATTGATTATAAGATTTATTTTAACCCAATTTTTCGAATATTTATTAATTGACATGTACAAAACGTGTAAAAATAAAAATTATTCACATATTTTGAGAAAATATTTACTGATAATGAAATGCCGATGTTTATTTATTCATGAGGGTGTGATCATGCCACCTATGATAGTATAATAATTATTAATTAATGGATATGTAATGCATTGAATTATATGAATTTAAAGTATTATGTAAAACAAATTTAAGCTAAAAAGGGTTGCTTAGTATAAATAAGCCATTTTGTGCTGATATTATTGTTCATGAAAATCCAACTCCTCTTCTTCCTACATCAATATAAAAATTTAAGCTAATGAAGAGAGCAAAGCTATCATAGCACACAAAAATTTTTACTCTTTATTCAGCCCTAACGCTAAGGCTTCATTGGGACAACTTTCTTAATGCGTTCTAAAATAGCTTTTTTGTATAAATTTTTTTGAACTAAAATTTTTGTACTAAAAAATATTTTAGAAAGCTATAAGAAAGCTGTCATAAATAAATTCTAAATTTGATATGATTATAGCTACTTCTTCCTCCTAATATTATTTCTCCCCTTATTTTGTTTTACCAATTTAAGGTCCTCTTGAATTCCAATAAGAGAGAAAAAAAATTTCCATAATTTTATTAATCAGTAAAAGATGTTGGCTTGAAATATCATTTCTAATATTTTAATGAGATTTGTCAAAATTGTTGTATTTAATTTAAGATGAATATAATTAAAATTTTAATTCATTTTAATGAATTACATTTCTTTTAAAAAAAATCAATAATTCTAATTTTGTGATCAACCCTAATAGAAATTTGATGAGAATAATCCATCCTAAATTTTTTTCTTATCAATAAAATTTGGATAATTTCATACAAAACATTCACATTTTAAATATTTAAAAAATAATAAGAAATTTACCTTTTCTTTATCAATTTTAAATCTCAATAAATAATTAAATTCTTAATCATTTTAATGTATGGCATAAACATATTTTAAATCAATTGATAAAAATTGATAATAGGAACAAAAACATGATGAAGCTTCCATGAAGGGTTTATTGGGTAAAAAGTCAACGTTTTTTTCAAAAAATAAAATAAAAGTACAGCCAAATATCACTACAAAAATAAGCATCTCGAGGCATTCGGATTAGCTAAAGAAGGCAAAGCCACTGAGAAACGATAATTACTTCACACGAACATCGCTGACCTTCTCTTCAAGTTCGCACGTGTTTTAGATTTTGAGGGATGGCCGGAGTTGTCCCATGCTAATATAAGCCTTCTGTGAAACACATCTACCTATCTAGTATCGAACAACAACGAAAAAAGGGGGTTCGAGTGCTCTAGGGTTTTCCTCTAGGGTTTGCCTCTCCGCTCTTTGGCCGCCTTCCGCCGCCTTGGAGGAGGACTTCGCCGCGATGTCCTCCTTGGATTTTCCACCCCTCTCATCCTCACCCTCCCTTCTTCCCACTTCTTCTAATCCTCTTGATTGGAAGTTTTTGCTTGCCAAAAAAACTCATATCCCTACTGAGTTCACCTCAAGCCTTGCCCATTTTCCTACCGCTAATGCAACTGCTCACTTTACGCAAGCTCAATATGAGGCTGGTGCCCCAGAATGGGGCTTATCTTTAGTCGGGTACTCCATTGGCCGACGGCCGTTCTACGAATCCCTCCTCTCCGCGATCAAGCGTACTTGGACCCTCAAAGGCTCGATCAACCTCCTCACGCTTGATGATGGTTTCTTCCTTCTCAAGTTCACTGCGGAGGAAGACTATGAGATGGCATGGTCCGGCGGACCGTGGTTTTTCCTTGGTAAGCCATTTATTTTGCAAAAATGGACACCTGATTTTGTCCCTGTACGTGAAGAATTCCCAAACATTCCTCTCTGGATAAAGATAAAGAACATGCCACTGTCTTGCTGGACTCCAGAGGGAATCTCAAAAATAGCTAGCTGTGTTGGTGTTCCTTTGGCCGTCGACGCCTTAACGGCAGCAAAGACCCGCCTGACCTTCGCCCGGGTTTGTGTACAGGTTTGCAGCATTGATCCCTTACCTGATGAAATCTACATTTCTGTGGACGGAAAAATCTCTCCTTTATCGGTTCTTTATGACTGGAAACCCATTCGCTGTACCCACTGTGGCTCCATCAACCACCCTCCTACCAGCTGCCCAAAAAATCCTTCCCCCCCTCCTCAGCACCTTTCTTCGGCTCGTGGAAGGAGCTCTAGTCGCAAGCCTCAGAAAACCCCTCTTCCCCGCCTTAATATTCCTAAACCTCCTAGCTCACAAGCTCCACCCCTTTTGCCTCCTCCAATTATACCACCACCAATACCTCCACACACATTTAATCTTATTCCCAATCTTAATTCCCCCTCGTCTGACCCCATTGTGGACCCCTCGATGATCTCAAACTCCACCCCCAATTCCCCCGCGCGCACCTCTCCCTTTAGGAGGCCCCCCCTCGTTCCAGCTCCAACCACTCTCCCTGAACAATTCTAAACAACATCAAATCCTGGACAATCTGAAAACCCAACCTCAATCCAGTAAGAACACAAGAGCCAAGCACGCCAAAAAGGCAACCACCCCCAATTCCAAGTCTCAATGACCCTCTCTCTCATGGCTGCTTGGAACCTCCGTGGGTTTAATAGCCCAGACAAGGTGCCTTGCTGCAAGCAATTTTCAAAAAAATATAATCTAGATATGCTATTTATTTTAGAAGCAAAAGTTTCTGCTGCTTCCTCGTCAGACCCTTGGTTCTCTGCAAATCACGATATTTTTCCTTGTGAAGCTTCTTTTGACAATTTTGCTTTATCAAACCCGGACACAATCTGGATCAAGTGGAATTCCCTCAAAGTGAATTTTATCCCTGTTTTTACCTCTACCCAGCTCATCCACGAGCTGGTCTATGTGGGTACTATCCCGACTTGCAATGTCTCTGTCATTTATGCTTCCAAAAACTTTGAAGAGAGACTTCTCCTTTGGGAGCAGCTCTTAAGTTTGGCTGATGGTATTGTGCTCCCGGGGATCATCTTAGGGGATTTCAACTGCTGTAGATACCCCCATGAGAAGGCTGGTGGTAATGCTATTGTGGCTAGCAAAATGACAGATTTTAATAATCTGATTTTCAACATTGGGGTCCATGAGTTGTCTTCGGTGGGACACTACTATACTTGGTTTAATCAGAGAGCTGACAAACCAATTCATATTAAACTGGATAGAGCCTTAGTCAATGATGCATGGCTGAGCACCTTTAATAACACCTGTATCTGGTTGGAGACCCACTTATATCTAATCATTCTCCCATCATTGTCCTCTCTCACAATAACATCATTAAAAATCATAGATTTCTATACAAAAATTATTGGAGAAACTTTCCAGACTTCTGGGACTGTCTGATCTCCTCATTCTCTCAGCATTATCGTAGCAGTCCTATCTGTGCTTTCTACTACAAGCTCAAAGATTTGAAAAGAAAGATTAAAACTAAGACTTGGGCTTCTTCCTCCCGCCTCAAGCAGGATCTGGATAACCTTTCTTTTGAGCAAAACCTGCTCCTGAGCCGCTTGCAAGATAATCCCACTGATCCTATTTTGAATGCCACACTTTCTTTTACAAACCGCTGCATGGCTGATATTAACCATGCTTGGACTGAGTGGATTTCACAAAGAGGGAAAGCTTCTTGGTTGTCTTGTGGTGAGGATGACTTAAAGTTCTTGTATGCTCGCATCAACATCAGACATAATGTAAATCTTATCAAATCGCTATCCACCCCGGATGGTATCCTCACCTCGCATCAGGAAATTAAAGAGGCGGCTATTTCTCATTTTCAAAATCTTTTTAATTCCTCTACCCTGGCTCCCAATGCTAGCCATTCTATCCCCACCGGCAACAGCATTTCGGTTGATCTTATTCAGAGACTTACCTCTCCGGTTACTGCTGAAGAAATTAAAAGCATTATCTTCAATGCCCCTGCTACCTCTGCCCCTGGACCGGATGGTTACACATTTGATTTTTACAAATCCTCCTGGAATGTTATTGGGAAGCAAATCTGTGATGTTGTTTTTTCTTTCTTCTCCTCCGGTTTCATGCCCCGGGAAGCTAAGGCGACAGCTATCACCTTAATTCCAAAAAAAACCCATGCTGATTGCATTTCAGACTACATACCTATCTCCCTCTGCAACACTTTTTTACAAAATAATTGCGAAGATTCTTGCTAACAGGATGAAAGTGATCATGCCTTACATTATCCATCCATCTCAAACGGGGTTTATTAAAGATAGATCTATTTCTGAAAACTTTATTCTTGCAATGGAACTGCTGGGGGATTTTAATCAGAAAGCTTCAAATAAATTCTTTTGTGCTAAGTTTGATATCCACAAAGCTTTTGACTCGGTATCCAGAGAATTTATCCTGAATCGTATGATTGCGAAAGGTTTTCCTCCAATTTTTATTTCTTGGATTAAAAACTGTATTACTGATATCTATTTCTCAATCGCAATTAATGTGGCATTGGAAGGTTATTTTAGCTCTTCTTCAGGCCTGAGGCAAGGATGTCCGCTTTCACTCTATCTCTTCAGCATTGCCATGGATGGTCTCTCTTCTTCATTTGAGGATGCTATCTCTGCTGGTACCTTCCTTGGTATTAATTCTGGTGAACTTCACATATCTCATCTTCTTTAAGCAGATGACCTGCTTGTTTTTGGCAAGTCTACCACTGATAATGCTCAATCTCTCATGAACTTGCTTTCCTCTTTTGCTGATCTTTCGGGGCTCAAAGTAAATCCTGAGAAAAGCCTTGCTTTTTTCTCTAAATATGCAACTGATGTTAATGAGATTTGTGGGATTCTTAATATCCCGCAAGCTCATAGCCCAATCACATACCTTGGTCTTCCCATTTTTACCAGAAAACTTTGCAAGGCTGACTTCCAGCCTCTGATGAATAAGCTATATGGACTTCTGGATGGTTGGAAGGCTAAATTACTATCATTTGCGGGTAGAATACAATACATGAAATTTACTATTTGCAATACCCTTGCATATTGGATTAGAGGAGCGATTATACCTAAATCTTGCTGTAAGGCTATCAATAAATTATGCTCAAGGTTCCTTTTCTTTGGGGACATCACCAAGAGGAAGCTTCACTTAGTTTCTTGGAGAGACACCTGCTCTCCAAAAGATTATGGCGGTCTGGGTATTCCTGATTTAAATGCTTTATACCATGCATTTGGTTGCTCATTGATTTAGCGATTTTTTAACAGTGAAGGTATTTTATTTGATTGGTGGAGGAACAAATATTTATCCCTCTGGAAACCTTTGCCCCAACGGACATCTGTACACTGGAAATTCATTTGTGGAGTTGCTAATTCTGTGAAAACTATGCTTAAGCTCTCTGTCACTGATAATTCTAAGCTTTCCTTCTTTTGGGACCCTTGGTGCAGTGGTAGATCAATTTATGACCTCTCTCTGGAGTATAACGATCTGCCTCTAAACTCTCCTACCTCCTCTTTTGAAACTAACAAGTTTTTGCTTAACGGTCACTGGAACATTCCCAGGGATCTTAATCCGGCTATTATCTCGGCTATTACTTCTATTCCCATTACGGATAAATCGGTTTGCTGCTGGAACCAGCTGGATAAACCTACCTTTAAGGTTTTCTTGAGGAATTTTTATGTGGGCTATTCTGAAACTAGCTGGCATCATTACATTTGGCATAAAATTTATGCCCTTCGTTTCTCTGCACATTCCTGGTTGGCTTTTTGTAATGGGCTCAAGACCGCTGATGCGTTGTTGCGACGTGGTATCCCAACTAATCCTAACTGTACCTTTTGCAATACTGTTCCGGAAACCACTTCACACTTATTTTTTGAATGTGAATACACATTTAAAATCCTTAAGCTTCTTATCCCCATTATGAGCAGCAATCTTTTAAGACATAACCTGAGACAAACTTTTGATACGGTTGAGGTATTAAATATCAGTAAGAACTGCAAAAACTTCTATTATCTGATGATATGTGCCTCTATTTATCATATCTGGAGGGCTAGGAACGACCGGATTATTGGAAATTCGATAGACTGTTATACTACTATTGCCTGGAGAATTAAGCGGGCTGTCAGAGGGAAAGTCATGAAATGGAATTGCTTACAAAATATTTATCATTTGCTGGAATGATTTGGAGAATTTGGATGTGGTGGTTTCACTGGACCTGGGATGCTCTATTGCCGGAATGTTATCTTCTCCTGTATGGTCTTTTATGGCAACCAGGATATGCTGTTTTGAAGGACTATGATGAATGCAACCTTCTTTTCTTCCCCTTGGACGGCCATTTCGGCAATCAGGGGAACCAGTCATCCGTCTGAATGAATTTTGCTGCCTGGGAGTTCTATCATGAGTGTTGCAACCTGAGTCCTTTCATCTTTTGTTCTATTCATCTTTCCATCCAAGTAGTATCTGTATTGTCTGTTTTTTTGTTTATTTCTGCAGCTGTGGCTGAAAGGTTGTATTTGTTTCTCATTTTTTATGCAGCCTTTTTGTTGCTGATAGGGTTTTGTTGACAACTACTGGTAAGTTGTGGTAGCTGTCAATTTTTTACTGTAATTCTTTTCTTTGAATGATATGGGCCTTGGCCCCAAATATTCCCCAAAAAAAAAAAACCTTCTGTGAAACAGCTTTTTTATCACTTTTTTTTTTGGGAAAAGTAAGGCAGAGCCCAAATTTCATTGAAGTAAGGAACTAGTTACATGTGTAAAACTATAACCAAAATTGTGAAGACCAAAAAGAAAATGAGCACCCAAGGTGCCAAAATTACACATGCATGCAAATAAGAGAGTAAAGCAGGAAAGTAGCTTAAGAATTGAAGAGCAGGTATTCCATCACGATCAGCATCAGACGCAAAATCCGAACAGGCAGCAGAGAAAACCTCCCAGAATTGGGAAGGAGCATAAGTTGGGCTCAGGAAAACAGACCGCATCCTCAATGAAGGCCAATCCCCGGTTGCCAATAATATCGTCAAATATGAAAATGTTGCAGAATTCGCCGTTCATGGGGGGAGGATGAAGACTGCACATCATCGCCCCCATCCACCCATAAAACGAACAAAAACCCAAAACAGAAACACTGGTTAAAGAACTTGAGCATAATAAGAAATCAGCCAGCATACCAGAAAATAGAGATAAGATGCAATAAAACCAAAAACATTTCAAACTTTCCCCCATCTTTTTAATTTGATAGCAACCACCTTATTAATCAGAGCTTGAATAGTAGTGATACTCCTAATCCGATTGGCAAATTTTCGTTCATTCCTCTCTCTCTCCAAATGGTGTATATATACAGCAGCCCAAAGCTTCAGCATATTAACAGATAAGCTACCAGCATTCGAGCTTCCAGAATTATACAGAAAATCAGAAATCTGATGTAAGTTTGGCCTCATGAGAAAATTACTAATAGAAGGAAACATATTGGCAATAATGCAAAAGGTATAGTCACACTCGAAAAAGAGATGGGACACAATTTTTGCACAACAGTGGCAAAATATGCATTGTGGGTCTACCTCAATATTTCTTTTCCTTAAAGCATCAGCCGTTTTCAACCCTCCAACAAAACATAAACAAGCATAGATTGAAAATCTTAAAGCACATCGTTTATGCCAAACCATATTGCGCTCCAGGTGACATCATTCTCAGAGCTATAAAAGTCCTGAATGAATAGACTAAATTTATGCATACCAGCATTGACCCAAGTGATACATTTGTCTCTACCCTCACAAGTTATAGAGATAGCGCAGAGATTTCATTCTGGAGGCTAGCATTGCAGTTGATAGGAATATTCTAGTTTTCCCCCACTATGAGGACATTTAAACGGGCATTATCCGGAAAAGAACCAGTAAGAGAGGGATAGTCTGCAATATCTTGAATGCACATGCCCTTAAACCAGTGATCCCAAAGTAAGCTAATGGGGCAACTCTCAGTTATGTTGAAATGAAAATTATGCTTGGCTTTAATAATAGTACTACAAATACTTTTTCACATAACCGAGACATTAAGTGAATGAGTTTTTTTTCACTTTTTTAAAGCAGTTTCTTACTTTAAATTTTTTGAAATGATTTTCTTTTTTTATAAAAACACTAAATTAGTAAGAAAGCTGTTACAAACTAAGCCATAATCACATTAACTAATTTGTTGTTTGATAGGCATCTTATTGGGGTTCTACTGTGCCAATTAATTTGTTATTATTTTGAAGGAGTTTAAAGGAATTGAGAAGATAGATAAAACTCTATTGTTAAATAGTTGTAATATTTTTTAAATCATAATGGGCTATAGGGTTTAGTTCGGGTCATTCGGGTTGATAGTGGGTTGGATTATAGTCTTCACTTTGACTTGTTTCATTAAAAAGTTGGGTTCTAGTCATTAGTTGTGCTAAAAAGATGCTTAAAAATAGTAAGAAACCTGTTAAAAATGAAACATAAATCAAACACTAAAAGTATATTTATTGATTCTCTCAAAACTATTTGGAGGATTGCGCATCCTTTAAATCTTATGTATTTATAGTAAAAATTAGTGTTTCAATAAAATAATTCTATTGAGCATAATATCACACAATTCTAATATCATTAAGTATATATACTTAAATAACTAAGAAATGTCGAATATTAAGGATATCAATGAGAGTCATAGAGTGTCCTAATTTCTCATCACAATGGTTAAAACACCTCATTAATATATTTTCATGTCATTCAATATACAAAGGAGAGAGAATTGAAGGGAGGACTTTTTTGAAGATAATTCAGAAAATTCAAGAGTGCTAGTCATTACCCAACATTTGGAGAACATCCTACATAAATTTTTTTGAAAATCAGGAAAAAAAAATAGAAATAATAACCAAAAGAAATTAATAGTTGAATTTAAAAATTAAAGCAGCTAGAAAGTTTTCTCAAACTACCCTTAAGCTTTATTTGGTGCAGCTATAGTTTTATTTGTGAAATAGTGAATGAAAAAACATAGCAAAAATTATTGAAATTGTGGATAAAAATATCTTAATGAAATAATATTTTTTCATTTAATTTCTTTTCTTGTCATAAAAATAATTGAAAAGGTTCTGTTTCCAAACAAGCCTTTATTTTAAAAATTGATCAATAATTTTTATATAATGTTACATTCAATTATATGCTAAACTTTTTGTGGGCGGTTTTTATTTGCAACTCTTTAACTTAAGATACACTTACATAGTTAGTTTATAATGAATTTTACAGACAGCACGTATTGCTTGTTAATTGGGGGTTTTGTCCACTGGTTTGCTTATTAATTAAGGTATGAATATCTTAACTGATTTAAGCGCTGGATTGATGTTATATTAGCGCACGTGGGCAATAAATATATTATATGAATATTTTTAATGTGCAAAGTCTATAACAGGCTCAAATGGATTAATACCTTCGCTCAATTTTTATTGAGATATTTAGAAAAAAACAAAATATCTGTTCTTCTTGAGAAGCAAATAGTTGGCATTATAGTAACAAAGTCCTATTCAGGGTCTAGAAATAAAATCAAGTTGCGCTGTTTCTGTTTCGACTGAAGGCAGATCCTGAACATATATTCGCATTTGCAGATAATTATATCATTATTTTCTGCATAAATTCTCTCTCCTTCTCTCTCCTTCTCTCTCTCTCTCTCGTCTTGCCTCTTCTATCGGAAATTAGTTATAACTGAAAAGGAGAGGAGAGAAAGAAAGGGGTATGTATTTGAAATCTTAAAATCAGCATTTGACTCGTTAAGAACTTAGTGACGTTTGGCAATTCTTGAGATGCTAAAACGTCCTCATGTCAAAGATTAATTTGATTTAATTATGTTGTTAAATAGTTGCTAATTTAGATTTTTTTTTTTAAGTTAGTTGAATTAATTAAGGGTTACGCGTTATTAAAAAAAATTGATAAAAGCCAGTCTTTCCAGTGTTTCAGAATATATTATGGATTAGTTTAGGCCCGTAATTCTTAATTTAATCTCCTCTAATTTAGCTACTTAACGGCTTTAAATGGACAGGGCTAATGATTTCTGGTGAAGGATGAAATTGGATTTCGGTTGGTTATTATTGGTTTTGTGGAAGTCATCGGATTCTTATTTGAAATATTGATTCAAGCTGAGAAGAGAGAATGGGGGGAGAGATAAAAATAAGAAGAGAATTGTTAGTAATGAGCTCATTTCTTTGTCTTGCGAGTATTTTGAAATATTTGCATCTTTGAAATACAAATGTAAAATAAACTGTTTTAAATAATTTTTAGGGTTGTTTCATTGGTTGTAAATAAGCTATGAGAATTGATCTTTTTTGTGTTTGGTGGTTGAAAACTTTCATCTTGATTTCAAGAATAGTACATTGGGATGGTGTCCTGGACAATGTAGATGTCAGGTATGATGGGTGGGCATTAGTATGAAGGATAGTATTTAAGGAGGGTTGGCTCCGATGCTAGAGCAGAGGGGGATTGTTTTTATGGAGAGCATTTTATAACGTGCGGAGTTTGAATTTTGAGATCGTTCGGTGCGTGACTATGAATAGTAAAACGTAGTTTACTAGTAGTAAATAGTAATTGTCGATTTTTACTCTTCACAGTCACAAACCGCCACCTGGCAATGTACCCTCAACTTAAGGGAAATTCTATAAGATGGCTAGTGAAGGCCTGCAATACATTCTAATGGTGCGAGATGCTGGCATTAAAAGAGAGCATAATACAAGTTTAAGTGTGACATAGAGAGGATGCTTTAGGTGGATGAAGTGTCCTTTTTAACCTTAGAGATAGGTACGAAATGAGGCATATAACGTGAAAAGGTTGGGTAGCTCCATAGAAGATAAGATTACGAGGGAGTCGCCTTAGTGGTTTTGGTCACATAAAAAGGCGGACCTTCGATGACTCCGGTTTAGGAGAGTAGAGGTATTTTAGATTTGACTGTGTTAAAAAAGGTATGGGGTAGACC